TTTTTTTTTTTTTTTGAGACAGAGTTTTGCTGTTGCTGCCCAGGCTGGAGTCCAATGACACAATCTTGGCTCACCGCAACCTCCACCTCCCGGGTTCAAGTGATTCTCCTGCCTCAGCCTCCTGAGTAGCTGGGATTACAGGCGTGGGCCACCACACCTGGCTAATTTTGTATTTTTAGTAGAGACAGGGTTTCACCACGTTGGTCAGGCTGGTCTCGAACTCCCGACCTCAGCACCTCGGACTCCCAAAGTGCTGGGATTACAGGCATGAGCCACCACACCTGGCCAAAAAGTTTCTCATATAAGCTCAATGATAAAAGCAGAAGACAAAGTTTTACCTGTACTCTGTCAAATTACAGCTATATATCTATTCAGATGCATAACCGTGAAAGAAAACATGGGCTACAGTTTATTAGATTGAAAGAATGATGGTTGATTTTTCTTCAAAAAAAATTTTTTTTTCTTTCCTCAGTATAACTGGTATAGAAAAAAAAGCATAGCAAAGCATAGAGACGTTTTGGTGACCCACCTGCTGCTCCTTTCTAAGGAACATTTCAATCTCCATATGAACCCGGGTCTCTTCTTCCGTTTTCATCCTTAGTTTCTGTAAGAACAATAATCAGATACTAACAAGCCTTCCCTGCAGGGCTGGGAATCAGTTGTTCTCAAGATTAGGTCTGCAGCTTGGTCAGCAGCTCAGGGTTCCTTTACCAGCTGGGATCCGGGGAATTCTGTGGTATTGCTCTGGCATGGGAATTCAGTTCAGTTCAGTGCAATTCCTGTCCACAAACACTGCAGAGCCACGTGGCACAGCACTGTCTAGATGTGTGCTAGTGTCCCCTACCAGAAGGAACACAAACGTGTTACCTGAAAAGAGGTGACCATTTAAGGAGAGAGACAGTGCTTCAAGGGCACAAGGCTGTAGGGCCTAAAAGGAAGTTTCAGAGTGCAAAAAAGTGTTGTCATGGCCTTAAGCCATGTAAATTTCAGAGGAAGGAGCCCTCCTGCACAGAAGTTACCTTGTCTAAGGATGTTTGTTCCTTCTTTCTTCTTCCCATCTGCCTGTTTTTCTTTCTTTTTTTTTTTTTTTTTTTTTTTTTTTTTTTTTTT